CAGCCAGTATCAGGAGGAGGCACCGTCCTCTTCCTCGCTGCAGCTTTTCAGGGTGGGGGGAAGGAGCCGGCTCAGAGCAGCCTGCTCTTGGCAGAGATGTTTTTGGGGGGAAAGCCAGCCTGCAGCCCGGGGGGACTTGGGAACGGGCCGGCTGCAGGGCAAGGCATTTAAGAGCTTTTTAGGGAGGCTATTTCACTGATACTGAGGCCACCCCAAAGCCACGCTGCTCCTTGCTCCCATGCTAAAACATACAGCGGGCAGCTCCGGCTCTTGCAACATCGCAGACCGCAGCCATAATTCCCAATTTCTGCCCATCCCAGGAGCCCACCTGCCCCCGGCAGCACAGGACGCTGCTTTCCCTGCCTCCTGGTCAGGGTTTGCAGCAGCTTGGAGCATGACGGAGGGGTCTTCAGCCCCTTCCACCCGAATTTGCTGCAAGTGAGGGCATGGGGGCTGGAATGAAGGCTGCAAAATTGCCCCACTCCGAGCCACAGCATCCCCACTCGCCTTGAAAGGTGCCACCAGCGCAATGCATTTCCCCGTGATTAAACCAATGAGCGTGTTTTTGGTGGTATTTAACACAGAGTAACAGCCTTAAGAGCCCAAAATTTAAGGCAATGGTAATTGGAAGCGTTTCCCTTAGGCGGTCACAGTCCTCTGGCCATCAGGGAGCACTCGGCCAAAATCTGGAAGAAAAGAGGTGGGAAGCGACGCCCGTCGTCCTGCTGCAAAGTTCTCCCTCCTCTGTGGATTTTAGGATGGGCTCTCCTGGAGGAGAGCTGGATAAGGCAGCTCCGAAAGCACCACCAGCATCCGCAGGGGCACGGCCACGTCCCCATCGCAGGGACCCCCATGCACCGACAGCGCCGCGGGAGATTTCGGGTCCCACGCGTCCACCCTAAGCTCTCGACGGTAGCAAAAGGCTAAAACCTGTTGCACTTACCCCGTGCGGTGGGGAATCTGAAAAGAAAAGGAGGCAGGGGAAGGGTGGGTGGAAGTGGTTTGCAATGCAAATCTGCCTCGCCCCGAACGGCTCGTCTCCCTACAAGCGGAAAAAACGGTGGGTAAAATTTTCACAGAGCGCCCAAGCGGTTCGGGAGCCTCCGTCCCGCCGGCCGTACGCAGCGAGGGGCCAGGCTCCCGAATCGCCCGGGGGGCTTTTGAAAGTTTTACCTGGTGGCAACATCCACGGAGGCAGAAGGGGGAAGAAAGGCCCTTACCTCCACGGTGGATGATCAGCAGGTGACACGGAGGGGCCTCTTTGGTGCATTTGTTGTGGCACTTGAGCCTAGCGGGAAACAGAGAAAAAGGCGTGAGGAGCGAGGGCGAAGGGGATGCGGAGCGTGACGGTTACAGGCAAAGGGATGTGGCTCAGGGCAGGAAGCATCGCTGCAGACCGGGGACCCTTTCTCCACCCAGAAAGATGACTTGATGTAACACTTCGGTTGTGCACAGCCCCTGGGTGCTCGCTGCCTGAGCGGGCCCATGGGCAAACCCTCCCGGCTCCCTGCAATCCTGCAGCTGGCGCTCGGGAAGACCCGTGATTCCCAAACCGCCCGCCCGGGCTGTGGGCGCAGGAATAAGAAGCGGTACGGGATGCACGTCGTCGGCTGCATCAGGGCTGCTGGCTGGGAGGACGCAGAGGCTGCACGCCCCTGGCAAACGAGAGCCACGGTTGGGTGCATCTGCCCTGATGGAGGGGCGCAGGAACCCCCAAACCAGCCCTGCCTGGGGGGCTGCCCAGCTCCCCCCTTTCTCCGCCGGCTGCAGGGGACCAGGCACCCACCAGCCAGCTCCAAGATGTCCAAAGTTGTAATTTCCACCAGCCTCGGCTGAAATAAAAGGAGCAGAGACCCGCGCCTGGGGGAAAGCCATTTCCCCCTGACCACCATCCAGCGCTAATGCTGCTTTACGCTTAATTAAATTCAGGGGCAGCAGAGGGGAAGGAAGCGGCTGGACTGGCCCCCTTTGGCTCCCGATGAATCTCTGCCATTGTGCCCTCCCTCCTAGCTTTATTACCAGGACATTTAACGAAAATAATGAGAGCATTTATGGCAACGTTGAATAATCTGCAGAGCTTTGCCTGGTTTTGCAGAGCCGGGGCAGGAGTCTACGGAGGGCTTCACCCCCGGGTCATGCATATAGGCATAAGCAGGCTCCCGCTGCCCCGAAACATTCCCGTTCATTCTTAATTAGGGATGGAAATGAGTCCCCAGCTCACGCTCTGCCGCGGCGGCCCCGGCGGAGTGGGGAGAGCCACAGGGGAAAAGGCAAAAAGGAGGAAAGGATTAAAAAAAACAAGGGTAAAGGATGAAAAAAAAAAAGAAGGCAGCTACAAGTCAATGACCTGGGTAATGAAAATTCAGGAGCCGTGCATGTTAGCTTTTATTACAAAGCCGTTCCTAGAGGCAAAGGCAGAGATTAATTCAGTATTTGAGGCTTGGAGGGGTTTGGGGTCTGTTTGTTTGTTTTACCTGCTTGTTCCCCTCCTGTTTCTGGGGAAAGCAGCACCGGGGCCCGGTGGCTACGGCAAAGCCGGCGAACCTAAATACTTTGCGTTCACCCCAGCTTTTTACAGCTGGGGAATTTCTTTGCTCTTTTCTGAGCGACTGCATTCAGCTCTGGGGCCCCCAACATAAGGAGGACATGGATCTGTTGGAGCAAGTCCAGAGGAGGGCCACAAAGATGATGAGAGGGCTGGAGCACCTCTCCTATGAGGACAGGATGAGAGAGCTGGGGTCGTTCAGCCTGGAGAAGGCTCCGGGGAGACCTCATAGCAGCCTTCCAGTACCTGAAGGGGTCCTACAAGAAAGCTGGAGAGGTACTTTTTACAAGGTCCTGCAGTGATAGGACAAGGGGTGATGGCTTTAAACTGAAAGAGGGTAGATTTAGATTAGATATTAGGAAGAAATTCTTCACTCTGAGGGTGGTAAGGCACTGGAACAGGTTGCCCAGAGAGGTGGTGGATGCCCCATCCCTGGAAACATTCAAGGTCGGGTTGGACGGGGCTCTGAGCAACCTGGTCTAGCAGAAGGTATCCCTGCCCATGGGAGGGGGATTGGAGCTAGATGATCTTTAAGGTCCCTTCCAACCCAAACCATTCTATGACTACAGGCAGCAGGACTGACACAAAGTCGGAGCCGCAGCATCGCAGGGGCAGGTCCCAGCATCCCTCCTCCCACACGGGGACCAGCCCCGGGCAGGCACAGCAGGCGGGTCTTGCAGGCAGCAAAGCCTCCAGTTGCTTGAACGTTGAATGCAATAGGAATCACCACTTCAAAATAGATATAATTTGATAATATCACTTCCAGAAAACCACCAGCAACTGCAGAGAAACCAGGCAGTTCTCGTCCAGGTTTAAATCCCAATTCGCTAACTCATCAGCATTTAATCAACGGCAACAGCGATCATTATCACTTCATAGCTCCGGCTAACTCAGCTAACCACAGATGATTGGCGTATTCCCAGCCCCCATCCCTAGAAAAGGCAATCGTGTCTCCAGAAGCAGCTTTCCTAAATGCTGATGGCTGCACGATACTGTGTAAGAGATGGGCTACACTGGATTTAAAGCAGTTTAAGTGGCCCCAGCCTCTGCCTCGCTATCTTTTTCCAGCCCTGCCTGATTTTATGGCCAGCGCGGTCCCTCTCCTTTGCATCACAGTTTAATTACGGTTTGGGGTGGGTTAGCTCCCCAGTGCCACAACAATGCCAGGAAACAGAGGGCCACAAGACTTTTGCTGATGCAAAAAATAGAGGATACAGCCCAAGGCTGTAGGCAAAACCCATCTGACGCCCAGAGCTACCCCGCAGGTAGGCGATGCTCTCGTCCGAGCCGCTCGCCACCCCCGGTGCAGCGCATCCATCCCCCCCACCTCCTGCAGATAATTCCACACGTAACCCTATAACGTGGGCATCTAAAGCCAGGCCAAGGACGGCAGCGAGCGGGGAGGCTGTCAGGATCTGACTCAGAGCTCTGGCGCGAGCAGAGCCAAGGTCTGGTGGGCAGCATCCTCCCCCAGGACCCCACTCCCATCCCCGCCATGCAGACCCGACCTCAGCCCTGTTTTGAGGTGTTCTTCACCCAATTTCATGTCCCATTACAGCTTCCTGCAAGGATGAGCTGGCGAGAGGCTGGTTGGTCTCCCCACGCCCAAGCCCCTGCTCAGCTCCAGCAGCAAAATCCTAATTATCCCCCTCGCAACATTAAGGAGCGACACAAACAACTCCAGCGCCACGACATACTTGCAGTTTTTGCATTTTAAGCCAAACAACATTCCCTTCCCGCAGACGGTGCAGGTCTGAGACATCCAGTACTTGGTGGAAAACCTGCGGAGAGAAACACGGAGAGTGGCCGGGGGGAGACGAGGCTGTGCCGCCCCATCCGTGCTCCTGCAGAAACATCTCCCGAGCCGCACCTTATCTACCGAGCCCCGATTTATCCTTTCCTTGCTGCCCTCAAACACTGCTGCAGGTACCGAGGCGTCTTTCTAGGGCTGCCAAAACACAAGTCTGAGCCCCCGTTTGGTTATGCAGAAGGGCACAGCCGGCTCCAAAGGGGTCCAAGCCAGCCAGGATGGGCATTAGCCACCAGCTTCGCTGCGGCTCCCCAGCTCTGCCCACCCCAGACTGCAGCCAGAGCCCCCAAAACACCTCCCTGCCCTGGGGACCCAAGTTTTCGGCCCATCAGAGAAGTGGCTTCCCCCATCGAACAGCAGCACCGAGGCTATTTCTAGTGCTTCTCCTTGCGGTAGATATGGAAGGGCAATAATCCAGAGATGGGAAATTTGCTGAAGGTTGGCAGGGTCACAGACTGTATACAGCTGTTATTGATAGCAGCTCAAGCCTTATCTAAACCAAATCTGAACTGAAATGGAACTTAAATGGGCTTCTAGGACAGCGCAGCCCAGCGTGGGAAACGGGAAACAACCCTGAGCCCCCTCCCCTGAGTCCCGGACCAGAGATGGAAAGGGAGATGCTCATCCCCCGGCACTGGGGGGATTCACCCAGCGCTGCGGCAGGCTTGGCGTACCTGTGTTTTATCGAGTTTCCTAGATCTCGACGGGGGATCTGCGGGGACCAGCGAGGCACTGACAGCGTATCTGCGGGGAGAGGAGAGAGAGGGAAAACCATCAGGCGGTAATAAAGGCGAGAGCAAGGGTTCAAGCTTTTGGGGAGGGAAGCAAAGGATGCACACAAAAAATAGGGTTTGCCTAATATTTCCCTGTAGAGACGTCCTGCTGGGCTCCCTTTCTGGAAAGCAAGAGGCCTCTGGCTTTGTGCTTGCCTCTGCGTGGAACCAGGGTATCCTGTCCTCCCATAACAGCCCCCAGCACCCAGTTTGGGCCAGGGAGAGAGGTGGGAGGTGCTGCACCCATCTGCACACAGAGCAGGGTTGCAAATCTGTCGGAGCCACCTCATGATGTCCAAACAAGAAAGGGAAAATTAAGCCAAAACGGCAACTGCATCATTTATTAATAAGACATCATGTCTTGCGGTTGCGGCTGAACAAAAAGCCAAGTGTCAGCCACTTGGAAAGCAATTTAACTCATGTTCAAATAGAAGAGCAAAGTAAAAAGCAGCCTTGGCGCTCTCCTTCTAAGGGAAAAGGAGGGAGAAAGAGTAACAGGACCTCGGCTGGGTAAGGAAAAAGAGATAAGTTCATTAGCGCCAGCCGGAGTGGGCAGGTAATTAGCAGCACGGCCATGCCGGCACTGCGCTCGGACTCCATCTCCTGCCTCAGCAAGAGCAGAGACCCTCCTCCTCCTCCTGTGGGCATGCACGAGCGACGGGAGAGGTCCTGCCCCGTGGGATGCTCAGCCCCCAGGAGGGATCAGTGCCGGGGATTCAAAGGCTGGATTTTCAATAAGGGATTCGAGAGGTTTCCCGGGCGCAAGCAACCAGCCCCAGCACAATGCGAGCTGAGCAACGGCGTGGAGCCGAGCGGCAGAGCCCAGCTGCAAGCCCGGCCGTTTGCTCAGTATGCCAGCAAATCCCTCGCTAAATACGCTTTCGATATTACCCCTCCGAGTGGGGAGAACCACTGTTTGCTTTAATATCCCATTTTAATATAGCGGGCGGCCGGGTGTTTTAATTGTGCTCTCTTTCTGAAGGTTACATTTACATGCTGCTTCCCGTGCAAGGCACCCGTTGCCGGGGTGGCTCGGTGGTTGTTAAAAGTCCTGGGAGCATCCTAAAACGCATCCATCTCCAGTTCCTCCTGCCAGCAGCTGCTCCAGCTCCTTCTCTTACTCCGCTACCGCAGTCCCAATCCCTCCTCGGGCACAGCCGGCAATTAAGATGTCGGAGGACTACAAAGTCAATTAAGGTAATTGCTGCCCCCAGCCCCAGGTTGGCTGGTTTACACCAGCAGCATGCCAATATTTTTGACCTGTGCTTCTCACCAGCCCTTGAGACATCCCACCCCAGGCTCCTGGACCAGCATCCCTCCCGCTACCCCAACATCTGCAACGTCCCAGGGATGTCCACACGCCCCAGAGAGATGATGCTCTAAAGAGTGGGACCGCTCCACGCACGAGCACTATTCCTCCCTAAACGTCATTTTCACATCAGTAAATCACATTACACAAATAAGTTCCGCCCCCCGCCTCAACACCGGTCCTTGATGAACTAAACACACGGGCAAAAACAGCTCCTCTCCCAGAATTAAATTACAACCTCCGCTTTATCAGCCACAATTTATTTCCACTAACTTTCAGCTGGCCTCAATTAAATCCTGCCATCCCGGGGAGGGGGAGAGGGGACAGAGGCAAAGGCGGCTGAGCCTTTTAATTACTTTCTAAATGTACTCACTGCAAAAATGTATTAAAGTGTATCAGGGATTTTAACCTCCTAACAAAAATGAGACCTACGTGATTCACGGCTAATTATGTTCATTAGAGGGAGCAATACAGGAAGGATCATGCCATTTAACAATAGACCTGCCGTTTGCAGGAGGGGAAACAAGCAAAGCGGGGCAGGAGGGCAGGGGAAGGTGCCCCACTACCGCGGGGAACAGCCCCGAGTGTCTGGGGGGCTTTGAAGTTAATTAGTGATTCTCCCCTTTAACCGGTGCATACGAGACGCTTGCCTGGAGGAAAAGGTGTTTCTCCCCGTGAGACATTAAATCAGGGTGATGCCCAAAGGGAAGGTGGAGATGAAGCAGCCTTCCCCCGGCACAGGATGAATATTCTCATCAAAAACCCAAAATTGCCACAATTAGAGGTAACTGCAAGAAAAAAAAACCCCTCGTGGCCACGGGAGCACGTCTCGCCGCTGCGGGAGGGCCAGGCTTTGTCGTAGGGACCCCGTGATGGAGGAGTGCCGGGCCCGAGGCGCTGCGGCTGGCCCGACGGCACCCGGATAAGTTGACCCTCGCGAGCTTTGAAGCGTGACAGCCGGCTGCCCGCCTCCCTCCATCCTTCTGCTGCTGGCAGCTCGCCACCCCACGCTGACGACCCCGAGCGGCCCCGCAACGGTTGATGTCTCCTGACCTCCTCCGCCCGGGTGTCAGTCATTGTTTATCACCAGCAACCTTCCATGTTTATCACCGGCAACCTCATCTATGGCTTGCAAATCAGAGCTCTTCTAGCCATGATCCCCCTCGCGCAAGTGTGTGAGGGCAGTTTTAGGACTTCCCCCGCCCTCCATCCTCTGAGATGGTATTTAATGGGCACGGGTGTAATGTCCCAGGGAAGGATGCAGCTGGTACCCACCGAGCAGCCCAACGGGGACCCCCCAGCTGAGCATCTACCCCTTTCCTGCCTCCCCCATCACCTGGCTCCCCAATGTCATGACGCTGCCCGATGCCACCCAGCACATCGATCCTCGCAGAGGGGCACGGACCCCGCAGCCGGCCACCCGATGCCAGGGGATGCCACCCTCCACCCGAACACCCCAAAACCTCCGCACTTTCCTTCGCCGCAGCATTGTGCCGGCAAAGGTCATGGCTCCTGCTCCACGCGGCACAACTTATCCTTGAGTCAACAGCCCGCACTTGACGGGGATCAGATGTGCCAGGAGGCGAGCGGGGAAGGGGG